CCCTAGAGGAGCCAGGAGCAGCAGGGCTATGGGGAAGGTGTGAGACCATTACTAGCATCTCCGCAGGAAGCGAGGCAGGATGGGAATGGTCAGGGATGCCCAGCAGCAATGCCAGGCTGTGTGCCTGGGGTGGGCTGGCAGATCCAGGCTGGGAAGGGTCCCCTTCGTTAGGTGGTGAATGTGTACCCAAGCACCCACAGCCTCCTGCCTGTCTGGGCACCCTTTACCAAGCCATTTCTAACCCAGAACTTGTGCACCAGCAACTTGCAGCAGGGTCTCAGAGGGCACATAACGTCTGATGCTTACAAGAGCTGGACAGAAGTAAAAGGAGCAGTTTTGTGTGGCCAGTCTCATAGGTCCAGATTCTGGACTTGCTCCCCAGAGCACACCAATGAACACACCCTTGCACACACACTCTGCAAAACTACACAGCGCACCAATGGGGCCCTAACACAGCCAGCAACTGGGCCACAGAATCCCCCCTGCCCGGCTCTATCAGCAGCCAGCTCTGCTGCTGCTACCCCTTTCCTGTCCCTCCCTTGCCTCCCCTCCCCTTCAGCAAAACAGAGTGAATGGCAGGGCAGGGCACAGGTCTGGGAGCCAGGCAACCTATTGCCGACTCTGTCACTGATTGGCCGAGCAACCTTGACCACAACACTGTGCCTTGGTTTCCTCTTCCGTGAGCTGGGTGCAAGCCCCATCAGCCACTGCAGCAGAAGACCAAGGTCTCCAGTGCTGTCACTGGGACAGCATCTTCCACAGCCATGGCTAAGGCAAGTCCTCTCTCTGGACACCTGTGCCTACAGCAGGTCTACTCCCAAACAGAGGCACCATTCAAAGAATGACTCCCCCCGCCACGTTACTGCACCAGCCAAGGTTCCTAGCACAGACCTTCCCAGAACAGTGCCAGCTCCTCTCCCCGCCTTGCCACTGCCCCATGGTAATTTCATCTTCTCCTGTGCCCCACAGTGCCTCTCCCTCTCTGATCCTTGGTTACTAGCCCTGGACACATGGAACATGCTACACAGGAAGACTAGAGCACTGGGGAGGGTGCTGGGCACCTAAAAGGATCAGCCCTCGCAGGGCATTGGGGTGACTAGCATCAAGTCATTTAGCAAGACACCCATCCTCCCTGCCTGCCCTGTACCCCCAACTCCTGGGAGGAGGTTACTGACCTGACTGGAGTGTCCCTGAAGCCTCCTCACTGGCTGGGGGCTTCCTCAGCTCATCTCCACCAGGCTGGGGCTTTGTCCTCCCCTGTTGATCACGAGCTGCTGGAGGGGCTCAGACCCCTCCCTGCCCCAGACCCGGGGGCACTACAGGCTTGCCCCAGTCCTGCAGGTAAGTGTGACTGAGCAACGTCTTTGGCCACTGCCTGGCATGAAGGGCTGGCAGCTGCTGTCCACGCGCCCAGTTGCTTTGCAGATTCGAAGCTCTGCCTTCCTGCACCTGCCTTGAGTGAAGCACCAGAGGGTCTCAAGGCATCTGCCCAGTGGGGCTGTGCCCACTTAGTGCACCTCTGTCTGGCATCAGCTCCTGCTCCCCAGCCCTGGAAAGGAGCTGGGAAGCTGCGGGCAGCTGCCGATCTGTGCTGTGGATGGCACAGGCTGTCACTCCAGGTCTCCGCCTGGCCTTTTAAAGCGCTGTCATTCAAATGGAGAATTCTGCTGGGTCCTAACAGCCCCACACTCCCACAGCCACGCAAGGGTGGCTCTGGGCAGGGAAACCCAGTGCCTAGGGGTCACCCTCTCCTCCAGGGCCTGCTTCTGCCATGTTGCCCCTGCAGCAGTAAGCCATCAGGGCAGCAGGAGGGCCTCAGACACAAGTCCCCATTAGCTGGCTCAGGCAGGGAAGAGGACCTGGCTGCAGGATGCTAGTACCTCACAATCCCAGGGCCTTGAAACCCCACAACTCCTCACAGAGTTTAAGGGCTCTGGGATCAAAGCAATTCCACCCTCATCCCAAGCCAGGCAGGGCATCCAGTACTCAGACTAAGGGACAGTGTCCCCCAGGCTCCCCTCTCCTTAAGGGCACATGGCACAGCAGCTCCAGGGGATGCGGACCTGCCTGGTCAAATCATAAAACAGACCAGTGAGGGTCCCATCGTATGTGTGGCAGGGGGCCTTACCAGCCCATCCACCACTGTCAGACCTCCTCAGTGTACCAAAACTGCAGCCTATGGACAGAAAGGGGCAAGATTTCCAATGCGAGGAGAGATCTGAAACGCCCAGCCAGGGATGTCAGAAAAGAGCTGGATTTTTTTTATGAGATCTGTGTGTCTCCCCACATCCCCCTCACCCACAAGCCAGGCCCTTACTCTCCCAGAAATGAAGCTCCCAGAAGGGAGGGACAAGAACTGCTGGTTCCTTTGGAAACTCCTGGCACAGATAGAGAGATGGCCAGGACTGCTAATGCCTTTGGAGACCAGTCCCTCCCCACCCCCAAAACAGGTCTGGGGAAATAGCCCATTTTAAGAAGGGGCTGATGGACGATGTCTCCCCTGAGGAGCGGGGCCCAGCAATTGTAACAAACCCTCAGCTGAGAGGATTTCTGCAGGTATGGAAGGGCTGGAGAAGCAGGGCGAGGGGGAGCCTGGTGTGACAACGGGGCCGGAGGTCTAGGTTTCAGTTAGGGCAGCCTCCAGCCAGAAGCAGATGGCTCTTCTTGTAGGGAGGACAGGCAAGCATCAAACAGCAGGTCCCAATCCTCAGTCGTTCTCAGGCAGCAAAGCTCCCTGCCTGAAGTCCAATCAAACGGTGCCAACACCAGGGCTGAGAACTTGGCCCCTTCAGTATGCCTGTTTCCATAGCAAATAAGGAGGACCAGCCCCTGGGTAAAGATCAGAGGCTTGAACAGCTGTCTGATGGGCAGGAGCCAGTCATGGTGAAAGCCTCAATGCAGGGGAGGACTCCCCCTTCCTCTGGTCGACCAACCAGGCTCCTTGTTGACACTGGAACATGAAGTTTGTTTACATTTTTTTTTAAATGAGCCCATTATTCTCAAGATGTTTTATCGCTGGGTTTAACTGGCCTATGGGCCACAGATGCTGCAAGGGGATTGGCTGGTTTGGATAACAAGGGGTGGGGAGGGCATTGGGGCTGGACAGGATTTTGCACCCATTGACAAGTGATGTCATGCTGTGGGAGAACAAAGCGATTGATGGCAGTCCCAAGGCACAGCCTGCTGCCAGCTCAGTGCCTGGGGGGGTGGCACTGATGGAGAGCAGCGCGTGGGGCACTACCAACAAAGGGTAGCTGCGCTCAGGTCAGTGCCCCAGATGCAAAGGAGGGCTCTGAGCACATGATGGGGGCCTCTGGGATGCCTTTTTACATAGTTAGCACCAAGAGAGCACAGGAAGGGGGACAGGGCTGATGGAGGAAGACTGCCAGAACTATGCAGGCAACCCTGGGTGGGGATAGCTAGTGGGGGTGAGGAGGGAGCAGCAGGAGGCAATGTGCCTGTCTGAACGTGACTCCCAGCAGCACTATTGCCACTGAAGCCTGGGGCTTGGGAGCAGGCTGGAGAGTGCGTGTCTGTGAGGCCCAGATGTGCGGGCTGGGGCTGCTGGAAGCTGCACGTTCCGAGTCACAGCTTGGGGACAGAACGCCACAGCTGCACTCAGGGACAGACACAATGGAGCACGGCCACCAGAGGGGCCAGGCCAGGGCCCCGCTGCTAAGATCAGCTCACAAGCACTGTGAAGGAAGGAAAGTGCTTCAGAGATGGTCCCTATCCCGTCTTCCTTTTTCCCCACATCCGCATGGGTCAGAGACTGAGGTAATCCCAAACCCCAACTGCATGGTGAAAACTAAAAGACTGTCTTAGGAAAGTACTGAGGACGGGTGCACGGAAGCACGCAGGTGACCATTGTAATGGGTGTGTGGGTTTTAAATGCATTTTAAGGTTTGTGTAGAAATGCTTATCCAGGATGCTGTATATAAAATCCCAGCCCCAAGGAGCTCCTGGCTTCAGTGGAATCAGGCTGTCAGCCTCCGACTCCCTAGTGCTGCAGAAGCCATCTCCCCTATCCCTGCCAGGCATGAGCAGGCTGAGGGCCAGTCTCTCAGGCCCAGCTTCAGTAATGCCATCTACATCAGGGTCGCTCCCAGGCTCAATACCCACCTGCCATATCCCAGCCCAGGTAGCACCAGAAGCCACTGCATGGCCCTGTGGTCCCTAGCCCCTGCGGTGTGCCCTCTCATACCCCCACTCCTTCTGTGAGTCAAAACTTTACCTAGACATGGCCCTGCCTGCCTCAGCCATCGCCTCATATCGACACTGCCCCCTCTCCCCACACAGAGCTGCACCAGCCCCAAACACCAACCCACAATTGCTGCTCTGGGCTAGGAAGAGAGGGAGGCTGTTGTTGTGCCCTCTGTCATGAGAGGAAGAGCCAGGGATGCTATGGTCATAGGAGCCACACAAGACCCCAGAATAGATAGGGGAATGTTTCTCACTAGTCTTCTTGCCACCAGTGCTTGGACTAGCACACCCCGTCTCCAACCCAATGCTGACCCCAGCTCCCCACCTCTCTTTGTTGGCTCCTTTTCCATAGTCTCCAAGGTGCCACCTGCTCTACCTTCTTTCTATCTACCTTTTCTGCCACCTCCACAGCCCCTGTGTCTTCTGCCCCAAGCTGCCATCCCCCTTCCTCCCTGGCAGCTGTCTGTGGAGGTGAGGAGCTCTTGCATTCCCAGCCAAAGGAAAGCCCCCTCCCTGCACCCCGCTGCCAGCTGCTCCCAGCCTGGACCCCTTTCCCATGGGCACCACCATGAGTCTCACATTTGGCCCATTTCCCAGGGAAATTCCCCTCCACTGCATCGCCCCTGGGTATTGGAGCTCTAGAGAGGCCACTCTAGGTCCGTTTCCTGCTGGGCAGGTGAGGGGGTGTGCACAGAGATGCTTGGGCACACCAATGGGACAGGACTGGGTCCATGGTGCTGCCTCAGAGCCAAGACTGGGGCCCTTCTCCAGCATCCAATGTGAGTGGCAGGCAGGAGTGCAATGGCATAGACTTTTATTTATAGTAACAAAAGTCCTGAGGGCATCGGCTCCCAGCCCAGGGCCCACCGTTGCTCCTCAGATTTTACCTGGCTCAGGCACCAGAGCTGTGATCTCCCAGAGCTGTGATTCCCCCCTTTTGGGGCACATCATGCAGCACACACCAGCACACCCTTCACCCAGGTCAGCAGGACCCATTGGAGCCAGCAGGCAACGGGCACTGGCAATGTGCTCTTGCTGCCAGGGACATCAGCGCCGTCAATGCCAGTGAGGAAGGTTCCTGCCCACGGTGCTCCAGGTGGTCCCAGCCCCTGGGAAGCCACTCAGAAGTGGAGCTGGACAAGGTAGCGGATGCGACACTGGCTCTCCTGGTAGATCAGGTATTCGCTCTGGGAGAAGGAGGAGTCCTGGTATTGGGGCATGGTGATGGGTGGCCCCTGGGACACCAGCACCTTCTTCCCATCTATGATCAGTTCCTGGTCATAAGCAGGGTCTGGGGGATGGGGCAGGATTAGTGCATAAGAACCTCACCCCCCTCCTTGTCCCATCTTCAGTCCCATCTCCATCACCCCCACTCAGGTTTGGCTCCCCCCCAGGTCCTGTTCTAGGTCTCGCAGCCCAATGCCTGCCCCAGACCCCTTCCACTCTAACTGCTCCATCTCCATTACTAAGTCCCCACCCAGATGCCAACCTATCACCTCCATACTGCCCTGCTCCCATGTCTCTACCCATGAGCTGGCAAGGATGGCCAGCTGGAAGAGCAGACTGGGAAGCTGTGGGCTTACCTGGCTCAGTCCTGCCACAGGCGATCACGCTGTTGTAGTTGGCGGGAGGCTTGCGCAGCGAGGAGTCATCCTGCGTGATGCGATACTCCTTGCCCAGGGCTACCTCATTCAGGAACATGATCCCAATCTGCTTGGAAGTACAGCGCACTGCAGGGAGACAACAGGGCTGAGAAAGGGTCCTGGCTGCAGGTGGCTTCCTGTGCCCAGCCTACCTCTCCCCAGGGCACACAAGGCTCTATTTGCCCTGTTGGCCCTCTCCAGAGCTGGCGTCTGCTAGGAGGAAGAGATTCCTGGCTGACAGAAAATTGGCACTGAGGGCCAACCCTGTCCTACCCCACTTGCCAAGAGGAGGCAGGAGTCTGGGCTGCGAACTTGGGGGTGACAGCAGAATGTCATGAGGCTAGGGGAGAGAGGGGGTACAGTGAGACAAAGGCTGCTGGCTGCCAGGCTGCCATCCAGCTCCCTGGCTCTACCCTCAGCTGTTCACTGTGCTCCCCAAGACTCCTTTGCATGGCCTGCTTTCAAGGACTCAAGTAGAGTGAAGGGAGACAAGAGGACTCCCCTCCCTTTTGGCTGATAAGGGCCTCTTAACCCCATTGCTTGCAATGTCCAACTCAATCCAGCCAAGTGGACTGCACCTCCAACAGGAAATGGAGGCTTCAGTGACAGCATCACACTCCCTGGACAGATCCTCGGCCTGAGGATGCTGCCAGTCTCCCCCGAGCCCTGAGGGAAGCGAGACTGCAGGAGCAGGTGGGGAGCACAGAGTGGAGCAGGAGGCGGCCCTGGGGGAGTTGCACTCAGCTGGGGGAACCAGAGCCTTACCGTATACTGCCGATTTGCTGTTCTCTGAAGCAAAGTAGAGCCCCTTGCCCACGCGGCCGCCTGAGTGTGGCATGATGCGCAGACCACTCTTCAGGATGGCAACGATGACAGCCACATTGGTGCCATGCCATAGCAGGCGCCGGTTCTCCAGGCTCTCATAGGCCT